CATTTCATTAATATAATTCTCATGCCACCCCCTATTTTTTCACTAAACATTTGGGTAAACGTTTGCAGTTTTTTCTAGCTTTTTTGGTATATCTATGTTCTGAATTTAAAGTTTGCTGATCATTCTCAAAGTTTATTGCTTTTTATCCTTCTTAATCACACCCATTTTTGGCAGATGTACAGTACTTCATAGCATACCAAATACCATTTAGCATTAGTTTTAACCTGCCATACCAAAATATCAGAAAGGAGTGAAGCACCATAAAATATAAGTTTAGTACTTACATAGTGCACTTACATCTATTATTAAAGGAGCATAAAAGAGGGCATTATTGACAAAATGAAAATAAAGGATAAACTTTCGTGAGACACACCTCCACCTCCAAGCTAAAGATATATTTTTTCTAACAACAAGTGCCTGCAAAGAACTGTGCAGATGGCAAAGGGGTTCAACACAGGTCCGATTTTCTTTTTCTTTCTTTTTTTTTCTTTAAGAAATTCACAGTCAGTTCTATTCAAGAGCCAACAAAATTGGAAAGAGGAATATTTTTATAACTATATATGGTACTGCAAGAATTCATTTGTTAAAAACCAAAGCTTTTACAAGAGTTTATCTTTCACAATAAAAAAATATGCTCTTTATTCTGATTACTTCTTTTTTCTTCGACCTATAACTGTTCAGTATATCATACATTAGTACAGAAGCCTTCAGTTTATTACATCTCTTATACTACTAGTTCATACATCTGTATTTGTCCTTTAAGTTGCTTTTATGGATAACGCTTACTTGTATATATAAAGTATTCTGACAATGATTAAAACACATTTTCATTAGCATATGCCACTAATTTTTCTACAGATTAAAATACATGACACAAGTGGGGACATTACCTAGAGTCCATATTAGAGTCTTTATACCATTCTGCTCCCATTTTTTAACATGCAGTCAGAGCAAATCTCTACCATGACAATTACTAAAATCTCAGTATAATGGATCCTAATGCAATAAAGAATAAGTGAAATTTGGCCTTAACTCTGACCATGGGGCAGCAGAAGTCAATCTAACTGTATTTGACGACATAATTAATTGTGAAGACAGGTAAAAATGGTTGATATTTAAGACCCACAGAAGGTTTCTTTATTTAACTTAAGTCTACTAATTTATCACATTTTTTTAAGTAATCCATGTGTCTAACTTTCAGTCTAAAAGTGAACACTAAGGTTCCACTAAAACTTCATGAAACTTGGGTCCTGACTACAATGGCATTTTCTCTTTGTTACTCACTTTTCTCATCAAGCAGAACTCTTTTGTAAAAGTCTGTATCATCCCCATAAGCCTGAAACTATTACATCCCTTTTTCCATCTGCGTGTGAAGTTTCCTTGAGCCATCAATGCATAAAAACCATTTCAAATACCATCTCCCTTTTTTTCCATCTGCCACTGAAGGGTCCATGGAGTTCACTAGACCGCTAATCACAAATGAAGCCTTCCATTTTTCAACTTTAAATCTCTCTCAATCACCTGCAACAAAATCCTCTTGAAACCAGAAATCCTTAACATTATCTTTCACAGGTATGCAATTTACCTGGCCATATGTGTGAAACATACAGTGACAATGGGGGGGCAATTCACATGGAACGATCCCATCCCGCACTTTCTCTCTTTCCCACATAGAACCGGTCAATAAACCTCAAAATTGACCAAAAAAGAGGGTTGTTACCATTTGGAGAATGAAGTTCAATCCTATAGTAATTGCTAACATAGCATGTAGGTTTTTAAGCAAAGGAACAGGTACGCTTGTTAAGTAGATTTTCATAAAACAGTATATATATCACATTTTTGTGTAGCGAAATAATTACAGTTTCTCAGAAGAATTTTAAACCGGATTCTTTTGGACCAAAATCCTGAACTACTTCAATTAAAGGAATAAACCTTAAAATAGTCCTTTATTTAGGGTAACCGTTAGCATAAAAAATAAGCCAATGCTTGAGAAAATTTTGAACTTTACTTCGGTTCCTATGCAAACTTTTGAAACCTGACTGACAATGCTAAACAGACTCTCTTCCATCAGAATATACTGTTGGTGCAATGCTTCATTTACCTAAACTAAAACTGATATATCTAAGATAAAAAAAATAATACTAGTACTAAAATGTTTATTCTAATGTCTACAGGGTTTCTTAAAGCTTCATACCTTGATGAAGTTACAGAGCAGTGTGAACGTGGCCGTCACACCTTGGTAGCATTGCCTGGAGGTCCAGACTCTACCTGCTCTATTGTAATATTACATCACCGACAGGCTGTTCTGCTTAACTGATTACGGGGTGTTAACCACCCGGCTCAGGTGTGTCGAGGCAAGGTGTGACCAGGCTGGAGTTTATTCACCACTGGATTTGCCTTTAAGGGCCTGGCACATTCCTGGCTTTAGAGATTAAATAAGAGAATGGCAATAAAGCTCCTAAATGTATATTATTTTTCAGTGATAATCTCTCTCTCTCTTTCTCTCAGAAAAAAACTTTTATTTGTGTTGTTTTTTAAATATGGGAGCCTAGAATTGTCCTTTTTTTACTGCTTAAAAACATAATTTTAAGTTACTTGCTTCTTCATGTACCCTCTGCCCTGCTGCTTTCATTAACTGGTGCAAAGCTGTTCGTTAAGTTTGCAATTCAACGGGAACAAAGCATTAACAACTAAATCCATTACATATATCTAGAAAGTATAATATATGCTTCAGAGATTTTAATACTCCCGTAACACTTGGAACTAAAAGTAAATGTGAAAAAACTAATAAGCAAATGTGGTGCCCCTTTTCCTCTCATGTTGAAACTACCTATATCCAAGAGCAACAGGTATTACTGCGTAGACATTTTTTTCTCGGGCTTAATTTCATGCCTCGTTCTCCATAGCATGACATGCAGTAATTTTTCACAGCTACAACTCCTTTCTTGTTACAGTTGTCAACCTCTTTAAATGCTGAGGCCAATTGCCGTTTGTTTCTATTCAGGAAGAATACTCCTAAACCCATTCACAATAGACAGGGTATTTTTCGGTTGGAAGCAATTTTCTACGCTATAATTTTGGTATTAAACTTTTACGCACGACTTCATTTTGTCTATGGTGCAGCATCCAGCGTTGTCCCACCTCTGTCACGGCGTAGAGTTAGGGACAATGGGACTGTTACAACACACACTATGTCACGGTGGGCACACCTCTCACACGGTTTTAATGTAATCACCAATTTTTCCCACAATCTGCCCTTGAAATGGTTTCTGTGGAAATTTAAAGAGAGCGGAATCCTTCTTCTTATTTTTTTATTAGTTTATTTATTCATTTCTGGTGGTGGTGGGGGGAGGGGTTTAAGGGGAAATTTAATTTTTTTTATCTTTTGGGACGCTTGATTAAGACTTTCTTTTAATTGCCAAAACTGGATGCTAGGTAAAGAGTGAAAGCAGTGTTAATAAGAGAGAGAGAGAGAGAGAGAGAGAGAGAGAGAGAGAGGAGGGGAAAGCTAAAAGAGCTGTCATTTCGTATTTGGCCCACAATCTTCACGCTGACTCCAGTCCTCTCATCACTCAAAAGCCACAAAACGACATTCTAATGAATGCAAATCTGAACAATCACCGAAATAATTTCCACTTTTACCCAATAAACCACTGCACTCTGTTTCTGAAAGCATCACTGCCATGAAATGGTCACAGTTTGGTGCATTCCTAGGTATGCAACTCCATGATCCTGCATCAGAATACAATCTAATTATTCAAAAACGTTCACTCTTGCAACAGGTTTTATTTTACATATCAAACACATTCCACCTATGTGGTAAATCAGGATTCTGAATCAGTAAAAGACATAATGTAATTATTCAAAATAGTTCATATTCAATGTTACAGGGAGGGTTCAGGTAGGATCTGGGTCTTCCGGAAGATGGTCAGATTTTCAAGTTTATATTGTTGGGTATCCAATTTTTTTTTCTGTTGAAAGATGGTCAAAAATGGAGGGTGGATCAAGAAAGAAAATTTGGAAGAATGTCTGAAAATATCCCTGGATCTGCCCCTGTGCATGGTGCTGGGGGGGGGGGGGGTGTGGAAAGAAGCACTCTTTTGACAAGAAAAGGGTCCATTCTGCATCTTAACTTGATCTAGACTCTACTCCCATTTTTTTCAAGATGAGTCAACTAAGTGGTGAAACCGTCCAACTTTTTAGAAAGAGAATGTTTTTATGCATAAAAATGGGTTCATCTAATGTGGTCAACTATAGGGAGAAAAAAAGAAAAGCAATCACCAAATCTGCCGTTCTGCTTCAGAGATACTTGATCAAATTAGGACCATCTTAAGGCAAGATATAAATTCATTCATGTAAGAACTTGACAAAAGACCAGTTTCTCTTTGGGTCATTGGGAACCATGATTTTGCATCAAAGTAAGGTTTAATTATTCAAAAATGTTCCGACATATGCCAGGGTTTTTACGCACAACTCAGTTGTTGCCCCTCACTGCAGCCAGTAGGGGGCGAGAAGCATGAGAATAATCAGGCTCGACATACACACTGGCCTGCCAAGGGGAGCATGTCAAAATTGGAGAAATAGATACAAAATGATACAAACAATCACAAATTAAAATATATATATATATATATATATATATATATATATATATATATATATATATATATATATATATATATATATATATATATATATGTATTTCACTACAAATAAATAAAAATCATTTTACAATTTTAACTCCAAATTCCTTCTTTTGTGAACTTTTTTGTCAGATCAGTGACTAAATGGCATGTCTGATTTCAGATTTTTGAAGAAAAAATAAAGGATGGTTAAGATAAAACATTTTCAGGATAAAGAAAACAAACTCAAGGGACCACTTAATCAATGGTGTATCAAGTTTTAAAAATTAGCAGAAAATTAATGAAGCATGACCCTTGAAACAAGTGAGAAACTCCAGGGAAAAGTGTTTCTTGTCAGCTCAATATGTATTCACTTACTTTACAGGATGAACATTATTGCTCTGTGACCCAATCACTGTTTCTGTCTGAAATTCTTCAGATCTGCATCTCAGTTGGGTGGGAAAACTAACTTTCTTCATCCGAATCTAGAACCAGCCTTAAAATAAATAAATAAATAAATAAATAAATAAATAAATGAATAAATAAATGTGATTAAATTGTATTTGAAAAGTATTCTATATGGTGCTTTGTGGGTCACCATATCAGTGCTTGACAAAGGTGATTACATCATCTTCATCATCGTCATCATCTTCATCATCATAATGATGTAAATAATAATACCTCAGATATCTCAAACATTTTACTTACATTTTCCAATATCTTTTTCTCTTCTTTTCATTTTTTTTTTCTGAAATTGCATCATTTTGCTTTACTCACAAGAAAAATTTTGGTCACAAACAGTAATGAATTTTGGAAATTCTGATTTTAAATCTCTTTTTTATATTTATATTGGAACAATAATATCGGAAATTTGAATCATTTTAGTATTAAATGATTTATTGAATATATCTTAAACACATGTACACACACACACACACACACACACATAGACACGTGTACACGCACACAATCTGTTTATTATGGTACAACTATTCACACATAGACTAAATAAGACCTGAAATAAAATTTTTAATTTTTGAAATTATTTAAAAATATTAAAAAAAGAAAACATTGGTCCAAATGTTTTTAGGCTCAGCTCATATTGCTAAAATTAGAAAGCCGACTATGCAGCATTGGTCTAAGACCATTTTACAAACTAACTCAAAATAAATGTTATAGTTGGACATACTTAAATGTCACCAATCAAAATAGTTATCACTGTGAAGATGATAAGAACATGCTCCAGGGACTTAACGTTAACAGACTAAAAAAAGTTCCCTAGCAACTTTCCAGATTCTTCATCTCTGGCTTAAAATCTTAGCAGTCTTCTGAAGACCAAGTATGAAGTGCATCCTAGGATATTTAAATCTTCATAATAACACCAATCAATATCAGGCACTGGAGAAGATAAAATAAATATCTACCAAAGTTTTATCCTCAAAAGAAAAAAAAAGTTTACTACTATTACTACTACTTTTACAAATATAATGATAACAGGTGCTTATGATAGCTTTGGCATAATGCCTCAGGTTCTCTTTGGAAAAAAAGTGGTACATCTTTCAGCCAATAGCACTCTTGTTACTTATTACTCTTATTATAAAGTTCTATATCAATGCACTAGAAAAGTTGGATAAATAGAGATATGTGCATAATAAATGATAATCCAGTGTATATGTATGATTATTTATCTCCAAGCATTTTTCACCAGCTTAGTCTAGGGGACTACTTACATATTGTAAAACCCTGAATAAAAAACATACATAAATACAAGGTTGGGGCCCTAGACACAAAGCCATTTACGATACAATACAGTTCATAGGGAGTTGCCTGGGAGCCCTTACAACACCAAACCTCACAACACTTGTTACATCATCTTAACTAATCATTGCCCATCTCATTTAACATGTGACCCAATAATTACGGTAAAGACTCAATCATTTCAACCGGGAAAAATTAACGTTTTTTCATATGCATAATTTTGGAATCATTAAACTTACATTTCTTTGTAGCACTGTGGTGCTTTCACTGTATTAAGTAGCCTGCTTCTCAATTGAGATCCTTTTCTTGGTCACTCTCTCATCTTTTTTCGTTTGTAAAATTTTTCATTGTTTTTATTTATTTTGAGCCCTTAACGGCGCTATACTCCAGCTACCTTTAATAATTGCGTCATTTCCTATCATGTTCTACGCGGTTTGCGATTGACGCCCTTATCACGAGTCGTCTGGGTGACTCCCTACGGCCATAAAGTAACTTACTAGTACCTAACTATCAAATATACCAAAAAAATGTACCTTTTCATTCATTTTCACACTTATTTTGAAGGGGAATAAAAAGAACTAATGATGAAGTAGAATGACAGCAATATTCCTTCTTCCTTTTTCTATATGTTCAACCAAGGGCTAATAAATCTGATAACAACCAATGGACACTAATTAGACTGCTGATGTCATTGCCGGTCAGTGGAGAAGCAGGTGCTTGTCAAGTGTCCACTATGGCCAGCCTTGCCTAGAGGCTTGATTAATGCCAATTATTAGCTCTCGATGATTCCACTGAGCATGACAATTTTGACTTATTTTCCATAATCAAGACATTCACATTTTATTGGGGAAAGAACAGAAAAGAGAAAACATCATAGAAGGTAAAATACGTTTTTGAAAGAATTGTTTATCTGAATAAATCAAAACATTGTTCAAGGGTTTTAAATTTGTAGAAGTAAAATTCAATGAACAGATGCAGAAAGACCAAACCAATCACTACAAGACTTTAAAGGTAGAATCTCTGCCATAAATTAATTAATTCAAGATTACTTTACTTCATAAGGAAAATTTACCTTGTCCCCTGATATGAGAGAGAGAGAGAGAGAGAGAGAGAGAGAGAGAGAGAGAGAGAGAGAGACTAAAACGTAATTAATAATTCATTCATCTAATCACCAATTTGGGTATAATAAAGAACCCATCGTTTTGGAATTACAATTCATTAATCACTATAAAATTTACTGAGTCACTGCCATACTCTCTGAGGCAACAGGTAAAGCATTAATCCAACTGGACACCAATTACCTTGGTTCACAACAACATACAAAATGGATAATTATATATATTAAAAACAAAAACAAGAAGAGGACTAAGAAAACAAAAGAACGGAAGTGAACAAAATTAACCTGTTCTACAAAGTCTTACTTTTCAACTGGTTTTCCTCATGACTGCAGCTAGCCAGATATATCCAAAATAACTGTCCTTCGCCCAGGTTGGTTCTCTTCAAATGTAATATCAGCTATCAAATCCACAAATCTATATCATGTAAGTGTATTTATTTAAGGAAAAAGTGTCCAGCCTCTTGCCTACTATACAAATCCTTCCTGCACTGTGCAAAACATCCACTATTGTAATAGCAACATCCTTTTAATTTGACAACAATCCTCTGGTGAATGGACGGGCAGACCAAAAAAACTCGCCACTTCCACAAACCCCAAACGCAACTTTAACTTAAAGTACGTCTGCCTTGAAAAACAACTCCACCAGTTATGGCTGACTAAACTGACCACTCCACTGACCAGCCACTGTTAAATATTCCTTAGTCCCTATGTGACCAGTAAGAAGAAAGCTCACGGATGTGCTTACTTAATTGCCTTGGTTTCTAGCATCTTATTCAGACCATGCACCTTCACTGAAGTAGAAAGAAAATTCATTTCTCCTCTGACCGTGGCTCTGGTCACACTGGGATTTCTGTGACTGGTTCAGACGCGGTCTTATTTCAGTCCTGAATTGATACATGTGATGTGGTCATTTTTCATAGTAAATAATAAATAAATAAATGAAACCAAATTTATTTGTTGATAATTTTTGGACAATTTAATGGTAAAATTTGGAAAAGGGGCAGGGATTTAACTAAGAAACTTTGATGATCCAAAGTAATACAAAGTTAAATTATATACTAAAAATCTTACAATATATGTTACCACAGAGTTTAAATGAACACTGAAATTTGTAATTACTATAACCAATAAATATCAATTCACAAGACACTTATCTGTTTTAATAACAAAAAATTTAATACCCTTCCATACTGATATAAACCTTTAAATTAGCTATAATTCAGTCAAGAAAAAAAGATAACAATGGACATAAAAACCTTACATTAATAAAATAACAGTATTTCAGATACAAAAGCCCTTTTAGTTCTATGACATCATTCAAAACAAGTAATATTACGTATCTGATGAGCAAACCAGACATTCAAAACAAATTCTACACTTTTAAACATATGCTGTGCATCACCAGTGCCTCTAGTCCTATTTCTAAGAACTTGATAAGACCAGATTTACACAAATGATCAGTTGGTTAGAGGAGGGCTTTTACTAAGACAGAATTTCAGTAATCTAGTGTGGAGAACGGACTCAAACTGACCACAAACGTGAACGGCACCTTATCATTTCCTCGGCACCTTGGGATGCCACCCTGTTACAGATCACCTGCTGCAGAGCATGAAAAGCAAAACCTGATTACACCTAGAGTCTTAAATGTCAATTATGTAAGCTGTTACATCACCCTCCCTCCAGCTGCCCATGCCGCATGGATAGAGTTCAGTGAACATGCACTGTAGCCGGTCCGTAAAACCTGTCTCTGCAGATAACCATACTTCTATTTCAACTTGCCCCAATTTGTAATAATGAATAACAGATATATTTTAAGTAAACAAATTTCAAGTAAAAATATGTTCTTCTGCTGTTCCTTTTTTTTTAAAATATAAAATACTGAAGATAAGGCAATTTTCTATAACTTAATTTCACCTTCTATCTTCATAGGAATGTACATTCTCTCTCTGTCTCTCCTCTTCCTTGTGTAATAGGTTCTTGTTCAATACTTATTCAATATGATAAAAATATATGACATATACTGAAATAAATCAGCGGTGATTTCAATAAAGAATGCAAATTCTAATGTCTTTATCACCTAGCATTCTTATATTACTGTTCCTTAGTTTCCCAAAGATGTCCTCTCTACCTGGACAACCCAAGTTGCTGGGCCTATAATTATATACTGTGCCAATAACAAATAAAATAAATTTTTTTACCCCCCCCCCCCAAATTGAATCCTGCATAAGAGGTTTTCAGTTTCCTACAGCTTAACTCTAGCTTTAAGGGTTCAAAGTGATTCAACTGTCGCAAGGTAACAATACCTGTCAGGAAGACATTGAATGAGACTTGGTGCAGTCACTGCAAGGCGTGGTTACACCGAGACTAACTTAAGTCAACTTAAGGTCTTAAGTCACTTTCAGGGTTAAAATGTTAGTTTACTAAAACTTACTTGACTTGCATTTCATATTTGACCTTTAACTAACTTCCTTAACAAACTGTGATTGCTTTGATAAAGGTATTATGAAGCCTGAAGCCATTTTAATGTCTAAAGCTTTTACAGCTGCTTAGTATCCAAAAATATGTAAATAATATAAATAAATTAATTAATAACCTATCACAATTTGCTTAAAAATGTTTTGTATCATATTACTTAATACTGTAAGAAAAAAACTCTAAAAGCAATGCGTTTTTCTGTGCGTGTTACTTAATATTTTACATCTAGAAATAATGAAATATTTGAAACAACTGATTTGTTTAATTTTTTTTCAATAATAACCATGTAATTTTTTCACTATGAAGATACAGGTCCCCTAGCTTACTATTCTAAGCTATGACACAGCCCTTAATCTTCCTACACCATTCTGAGAGTCCCTTTCCCACCCCCACCCCCATGCCTCACCTACCCCCATGTGTACCCCAATCTCCCTATACACCCCAATCCCCTTGCCAATCCCCCCATAGTTACTCCTGCATTGATCTATTAATACAATTGTGGTGGAATCGGTTGACACATTCAAATCTGAACACATATACATGTTGCTAAGGATGGTCGGGGTAGGGTAGGGTGGGGTGGGGATTGGGCCGTGTGTGAAAAGGGGGGGGGGGTTGAAGCTATTTCGCCCTCATCACATGTCGTAATGAACCCCAGGTTTAATGCATGCACCTTTTCAGCCAGACCCAACATCCAAGAAATCAGATTAAAAAAGTTGCTTAACTTTTTATAAGATACTGCAGGAAGTGAAGAAAATAAATATTTATTGCCCTGTTTCATGATTACATTAAGATGTTAAGATGCCACCTAAAAAAAAAAAAAAAAGCAACAGATACTTCCATGATGAAGTTTAACCAATTAACATAATGCAATAAAGTGAACACAAAATATAATTATCAAAACAAGTATGTAATAGTGCACTGGGCTGACCTTATTAATTTTAGTGTAATTAATCTCTTTATACGTCTGTCTGAAAAAAAATATAATCACTGATGCAACATGTACAACCTTTCTTCTTTGCTCTCCCTCATGTATGGGTATGTGCTCCATGAGAAAAACAATTACTACATTTTGTAATGATCATTATTCATCACCATCATTAAATGCTCCCTGACAAAGTCAATTACTGCATGACCTCAGAACAACTGGAACTGTATTTGGAAAACTGAAGGTTGCCTACCTCTGTTTTTATAATTACATTGGTTACAAAATTGGTTCCATTGGGAATTCTGGTAATGATAATGATACCATAATATATAAAAAAAACTTTTACCAAAGCCAAGATGAAGAGTGAGTTACTTAAACATATTTGTACAAATTTCTTTTCTCATTTTGTCTTGCTCACGGTAAAAACATGGGCCTGAAAACACAGCTGGCTAAGAAAAGTGAAATACCCCATTCTTCCTCCTCGTCCTTAATTTTCATTTGAGATTTCAAAAAATGAGGAAAACATCAGATTTTCATTACTTGGATCAACCTTGTGTCTTATTGTCACTGAAATTTTACTGGTGTCTTTCAAACTAACTACCGTACCACCCATACTTTTTGTTACTGAAATGCACTGTAAGCTTAGTACTATTACCATTGGCCTTCCACGCTTGAATGCACATCTTTTCCTCTCTCCCAAAATAAATACAATTCTTAAAATCATACAATGTCCCTGTTAATATCACTCCCAACTTACCAACTCTCTCTCCCCCTTAATCCAAAGAATAGTTGGTTACGGTGATGTACAAAACAAATCTCCGCTTCAAAATCTGTAATGTTTTTGTCCTCTCAGAATTCTGTTCACTGACAGCTTCTCTGCACCACTGCCTGAATGCATATCGCACACTTCATGCTCTAACGGCTTCCTAGGTTGTCTAACCAAGCCAATTAATCTCACAGCAGCCTTGGGAGATTGCCGTTAAAAAAATAATCCCTTCAGCTTTTGTAGAACTTCTCAGTCTTCAAGTCCCTAGTTGGTAATTTTTGTCATCCTTGAAAGATAACAGAATCAAGCAGAATGAAGCATCCTCCTCCAGTTTTTGTTTTTTGAGTCTCTGGTCCCTTAATTTTGGTTGACTGTTTTCAAGTTAAGACTGTTCTCCAGGCCCTAGTTAGTCTGTATAATTTTGGTCGACCGTTTCAAGTTACTTATAAAGTGGAAGATGTATTAATGTTTTCGCTGATGCGTTGCGGTGTCGGGGACTGGTGCGCACTGGGATGCGTGCAGGTGCCAAACGGCACAGGTCTCGCCATACAAGAGGGGAGCGAGGGGGTGAGAAGTTAAATTAAACTGCTGATCCGGAACGCTGCTTTTGCATGACGCAGTATGATTAGGAATAAATCATTCATTTTAATTTTGTTACCTTGGAGAAGGTTGCCAGTGAAATGAAGCGCACTTATGTCACCGCTTTTGTTGTTGTTTTTCCTTTAACCTATACATTTATTTTCATTTGGATGATGATGGAGTGATTCAATAACTAGATTCATACCTGAAAGGTGTCAAAAATGATCCAGAGTATGATCTGATTTTCATTTTCACAGAAACTTTACTTCCTTTTACACAAGGAATCAATCAAAAGGTGTAAGAACAATCTGCAATTACTTATCTATCTATCTATCTATCTATCTATCTATCTATCTATCTATCTATCTATCTATCTATCTTAAGACTTAACAGTATTTTTCATGCAGTGTGCAGTGATTATCAGACAAATCTATGCACAAATTAAAAGTAAACACATACTATGGCCAAATTAATTAGATATTCCTCATTTATTTGTTAGGTCTCACCAAAAAAATTGTGGAGAAGGGAAGAGACAGGGAGGGTCTTAGGTAAAATTACAAATAGGTTTTCTGTTATATGTCAAATGCATACAGTGAACAAACTTTTTATCAGAAAGGTATCTGATATTTTCACCACATTTTATTCACTAAAGATCAGTGACGCCCTTCATGCAACAAAGAAACAATCTGAGCTGCCGTGTTCCTACCACGAAACCACGCAAAAAAAGAAAATAGAGAAAAAAATATGTAAGTACAACACTAACATTTTCCACTTTGGGATTTGCTTCATACATAACATTATTCACTTCAAGAAGAGGGTAAGAAAATTTACTTTCAAATTTTCAAACAACAGGAACTCTATCAACAAATGGCATTCAACTGTGACAATGTGAAATTCTTGGTCTATCTCTAACAATAGACAACAGTCTCCATCGTTCCCTGTCACCCTGACGATTTTTCATTTCTCCCTTTGTTGTCCCTGACAAAGAAACCATATCAGTGGACTCTGCATCACGCTTTGGAGAACCGCTCAGCTGCGACCATCCAGTGCATAATGATATTAAAAGTATACAGTACTTAAGAGGGATCAAATTCTCCCTAACTCATCAAATCTTCATTCATTTTGTCTCGACTCAAAGCGTTTCCACTCTGTGGCTGTCTATGGCCGAGTTCACACTTGGAACAGAGAGAGCGTGAACAGATATGATACGTAAGACATTGCCAGTAATAATTGCAATCAAGTTCGCCAATACATAACACGTTGTTAATGCAACTTACTTTGAACTCAGTGCCCAAGGAGGGTGGGGAGCCAATCCAAATTCTTAAACAACGGCACCTCTCAACTAGTCGAGACAATTGTCGCCAAGGCGGTTTCAGACTGCCTCTTTCTGAGGCTGGTGAACGCATCCAGAGCGTTTCCACTCGGTGGATGTGTGCTGTACCAGCGCCTGGCTGCTTAAAAGCTGTGAAGTGGAAACTGAAGAATAAATTGCCTAGCCAGCAGAGCTCCCACACCAGGGTACCTACATTGCCTGCATCACGGAACTGGAACAATGGGACAATCTGTTTGCTCTGTGTAATAAAAGATGGAGGAAATGGGAGGAGGGTGAATATCTTGAAAGGCGAACCTTGACTGAAATGGGAATGGGACCCACATGATTATCAAAATTTTGGGGTAATGTCACCAGAGTTCCCATGACATAAAGGGTATCATTAGTGAAATTGGAACAGTGTGGCTTGTTGTAACTGAGAGAGAGAGAGAGAGAGAGAGAGAGAGAGAGAGAGAGAGAGAGAGAGAGAGTGAAACGTAGCAAAGATGCAACAGTTAACATGACAACTATCATATGCAGATCAGATACTGGTAGAAAGTTGACCTCAGAAGTGACTACTTTTAAAATTGTCAAAATAAAAATGTCTTTTAAAACTGGGAGTAATGAAAAATTTTCATCTTTTTTAATTTTGGATATTATCATCCTTGTTAAAAACAATATTAATCAGTAATAATACACTGACAAGGCTGAAGGCATTTCCAAGAGAATACTTTCATCCTTGAAATACAGCTACTTTTCTCTCGTCTTTTCTTCCATTAAATTTGGTAAGAGGTACAAGGCAATGTGAACAGGCTTCAATTAACATACATCCACAACACATTTAATCTAGATTGTTATTTAAGATGAAGAATTATCTATAGTACAGGAGTGCAATCTTACAAACTCACACCTGGGTCCAAATGGAATACATATTCTTAAGAATTACCTTTCTCTCTCTTGTATTTATTTTTTAAAGAATTATACTATAAAAATTTGATAGAAGTACATAAGGTTCTGCCGTCTTTCAGTCATGAAAATATGACAGACATCAATGTCAAGGAAAAAAGATAATGATCAAGAGAATAAATTGATTAATTTTGAGAATCCCAAATGCAGAGGGAGGAAATAAGAATAGCACAAATCAAAATTATATTATCAGGTTCCAAATACTGGGATCGTATTATGCTGTGAACAGTGTTAGCCAGCTCCATGCATGGCTTCAGTGATGAGAGAGAGAGTGAGAGAGTGAGAGAGAGAGAGAGAGAGTGTTCCATGGCTTCTGAGATTGGAGAGGGGAAGAGAAACCAATCAACTGTATCTGTTGAGGGGAAACTTGTCAATGATGGGTTTCCTGCTCTTTTTAATACCCGTGAAGAAGATTACGTCTGTGATTTATAATTAATTCTGAGCAGTTGACATGTCACCATGAAAGGATTCATGTTTTTATTAAAATCTGAGAGAGATTTGGAATATAACCAATCTAACTGCCACTGAATTCTTTAGAATCGTTTTTCCTTTCAATAAAATGTTGGATAAAACTCTATCAAATGCCATTATAACCAAAGTAATAGCATAATTGTAAACAGAAATGTCAGAGAATGGGGGGGGGGGGGGGGGGATTCGGGGTTAAATAAGCTATTTGCTTAGGGAAGAAACTTTGCTTGAAATACTTCTTTGTTATAAGATTTTGCATTTTCACATAACAAGGTATGTTTAAATATAAAAAAAGCATGGAAAGAGAAATTATTCTTGAATTATTTCAATGTGGTAAGAATAACCATTTCTACATGACAATTTTAGTAAAAAAAAAAAAAGTACTACAGGATATTCAGCTAATTTCCTGTCATCAATACGATATCACGCACTAATCTGGAAAAGAAGCCATGCATGGGCTGTTAACCTGACAAAGGTTAGTTCATTGCTTGTAGGGGTACTGTCATAGACCCCATTCCCATAGATTTTAGATCGATCTATCCCTGTGGGGAGTCTCACTAGATTACTGTCAGCTTAGCCGGCTTAAGCGTCTGTCCCGCCTACTAAAAGCTGTAAGGGGGTAATTAACTATGGTGCGTGCTCGGAAGACTGCAATTTAGCGTGAACCCCCAGGGAGTTAGGTCGATCTAAATCTCTGGATTGATCTAAATCTCTGGATCGTTCTAAATCTCTGGAAATGCACCCATAGACAGTGGAATCAAAATAACTGATATTATTCTGTCTGTTGGGGTGAAACACAACACAATTGGAATTTCTACTTACACCATCAGTTTCAAAATGCATTCAACTCTCAAAAACCTGTCATGTTCTGTTTGTGATTCTACTGATCATCAGTGCTTCCCCTTGGTGACAATTTTGAATACTTCTTTTTTTTCAGTCTTTAGAAGGTATTCAAAAGATAGAACCAATGAAAATATGTATTTTTCAGCAATTTATTATTTTTTTTTCAAATTATGGCTATCAGTCACAAAAATTGCTCATTTGACAAAAAAATTCTACCCTTTAATGAACATATATATTCTCAAGAAATGAAAATAAAGAAAAAAATCATCTCACCTTTTTACATTTTCAGGACATCAGAGTCAAAACTTCTGTAGCATACCTGGAAATAAAAATAAAAAATCAATCATATAATAGTGGAGATTTAACAGTATAAGTGCACCATGCATTAGATATAAAGTCAATATCAAGTTTCAGAACAGGCTTTCCCTTCATTACAAAGAAATAACTGCAAAGAAATGCTTATGCCATCACTGTTACAAATTTGCCATCAAAAGTGAAAATGTAAACTCAAAGTTTTTTGTTTCTTCAGTGAAAAATGTCTCAAGTCTATCACCTATCAGTAAAAGAAGATCCAAAACACACAAAAAACACTATAGCTACACAATGAGTTTGTTCTCGTAAAGAAGAACAACACTGATTAAAAAAAGTCTAAAGAAACTGCTCAGGTTTTTACCTTGACTTACTCTGAATCTCTTATCACAACACTTCCCAGGTAAAAAAAGAAGAAAAAAAAGGTAAGACAGAATACAAAAGTAGCACCTTGGGTTTTTGAATCCAGTGACTCAACAGCAAGTGTGACCCAGAATAAGAGCAGTTGTGCCTCATTTACAGCAAAAATTCAAAAACAAGAACACCACAAAGCTTGCCTTCACACCTCACTGACTTTACACAGGCTTGCAGCTTACAAATCAGCTACCCTCCAAAACAGGGTTTAGAAAGCGCCCGTGGTTTGCAGCAGAAATTCACTACTGATGTAGATAACTTTAATGTCAGGCCTGTAGCCAGGGGAGAATGTTTTGCCGAGGAAAGGTCCGCTCTAGGTAAAATTTGAAATAGGTACAAATTTTCATGGTAAATGGTCCACTTTTTTGAGAAAAAAGATCCCCCTCCTCATTTGAAATTGACGGCTATGGGCCTGAATGAAATTACGAAAGCACATGCTTGCATGGACACCCACACACACACACACACACACACACACTGCCCCCATTTCTGCATAGTAAAGATCTGTCATCTATCCTAGAATCTCTTGCTCTCATACTAACAAGGTAAAAACGAATAAACTGCATGGTTGACAAGAATTATATCATTACAAAACAATAAAAAAAATCATTAAATAAAAAAA